TGTACATGGTTTTAGACTATAATTTTGTTAATTTTGGTTTAATATTCAATGAGTTACAGTCCCCCAAAGTCGGTATATCAATATGAAAATTTTCAAAATTCAACCGACTAAGTAGTAAATAATTACCAAAAAATTCTGGTTTTTCCGGGTTTTCCGGTTCTAAACCCACTTTATCCGATTCCAACCTACCCACTTTGATGTTTCCGGGTTTTTCGGTTCTAGACCCACTTTATCCGGTACCGTACTCGGAACCGAACCGGAACCGGTTCTTATATACCGGTCCAGTTTCCGGTTCTACAAAATCCCGTTAACCGGTTCCGGGTTTTCCGGGTCCGGGTCCATCCGGTTCGGGTTTGGACCCACTTTCATCCCTATGCACTGCAATCAATCCGAGCCCTTCTTTTCCAAATCGATGATACCTGAAACCATAAACAAAACTGTAAGCACGAAGCTTAGTGAGTTCCCCAGAGCATACCACACACAATCGACATAACCACATAATCCATATCAGCTATAACAGTTACATAAACCGTAACAATCGCATAAGCATGCATATACACATATAAAGATGCCATGGAAACCCTCCAGGGTCTTATTCACATACTTACATAAATCATGTCAACTACACAAGCCATGCATATAAACATATATGGAAGCCCTGGCAAGGTCTTACACCGGGTGCCCTGGAAACCCTCCATGGTCTTAGCCCACTGCCATGGGAACCTGTAAGGGTCGAATTTTGTTGTAATATGTCGAAGTCTTTTGTACCCTTCGTATGTTTGTTAAGTTTATTTACTGAGGTGTATTTCGTACGAAGCTTAATTGTCAATGCCCTAGTATTTTTTTGTATGCTTTCACTGTTCCTATAAATATGGAACTTTACTAGAGTTAGATAAGAGTCCTTTACAGAACCTTTCTATGTTCTCCGTAAAAGTTGAAAGCATAAATGAGCAGAAACTAGATCTTATTTACATCGTTTGTTCAATCTGCATTCGTTTTACTCTGATTTTGATTAATACTTGATTCCACGATTTATCAATTGGTATCAGAGCAGGTATCATGATCTGAGATCTAATTTTCACTCTGTTTCAAAAGGTTTTTGAATCAAA